GAAAAAATATTCTCCAGTCAGGATTAACAACAAAAAAATGAAGATAGCCTGTAGACTCTACCTATGTGAACAGCACTTGGTGCATTGCCTGGCATATATAAGATGTTCAGATAATTAGAATCATTGCCTCTAAAGAACTCGATGATGTGTTTTCAGCTGGGAAGAAAATCCAGAAGATCAGGGGGAAAGATACTGCAGAAAAATAAACCCAAAGATTTCAGCATAGCTAAAGGGCATGATTCAGGTCCCTGGAATCAGTGGGGGCTATTCCTTGCGGAGAGGTAGAATGCCCCCTCCCCTGACTATGCTCAGATGTGATGGCTACTACTAAAGGAAGAATTAAAATCTCCATGGGTTCCTTCACCAAGCTTTTCATTTTGCTGGGCCAAGGAAAGGATCCTGACAAAGAAATGCTATGCTATACTCACACTATCTTCATCAGCCACTACAGAGAATAGTTAAGTAGGTAAATTAATTTAACTCTAAACTGTACAGGACATTTCTAAAGGCTCAATTCCAGGGTAGGGGTTAAATATGTGAGAAGAGCTCTTTATTGTATACTAAGTTTCTAAAGAACAACTCATTTCTTGAACTTCTAGAGGAGCACTGTGCAACAGAAGTATAATCAGAGCCACAAATGTGAGCCAAAGATGTAATTTTAAACTTTCTAGTAGCCACATTTTAAAAAGTAAAAAGGTAAGACCTGGCCTGTGTGGCTAAGTGGTTAGAACACTGGTCCTCGAACCGAAGGGTCACAGGTGTGATTCCTGATCAAGGGCACCTGCCTCAGTTGCAGGTTCGATCCCATCCCCGACCCCGTCAGGGCACGTGAGGGAGGCAATCAATCAATGTGTCTCTCTTTCCTTCTCTTCCTCCTTTCCACTCTCTCTAAAAATCAATGAAAAAAATATCCTCGAGTCCTAGCCAGTTTTGCTTAGTGGTTAGAGCGTCAGCCTGAGGACTGAAGGGTCCGGGGTTCGATTCTGGCCAAGGGTGCGTACCTCGGTTGCAGGCTCGGTCCCTGGCCCGTTGGAGTGTGTGCAGGAGGCAACTGAACGATGTGTCTCTCTCACATCTCTCTCTTCCCCCGCTTCCACTCTGAAAAGCAATGGGAAAAATATCCTCAGGTGAGGATTAAAAAAAAAGAAGACGAAAAATATTCTTGAGTGAAGAGTAACAAAAAAATTAAAAAAAGGTGAAATTGATTTTAATATATTTTATTTGACCCAATATATCCAAAATGTCATTTGAACATGTAACCAATATAAAAATTACTAATAAGGTCATTTACATCTATTTTGTCATCTTAATCTTTGAAATCTCTATTCAGACTTGTCACATTTCAACTATTCAATAGCCACAAGCAGGGACCATATTGACCAGCACAGTTGTAGAATCACAGATATACACTAATTTTTGTTTAAGAATGAATAATCTTAATTTTGACACTATAACTAGCTTTAATTACAATAAATTAAATTCAATGTCTCTAAGTTTTTAAAAAAGGGATGGAAATTTTATGAATCTAAAAGAAACAGAATAGTATAAATAAAATTTTGATCATTTTTGTCATAGGATTAGGCTAGTTAGCCTCCTAATACAAAAAAGAGTGATAAATTTTAGGTTTGGTCAGAGCTTTCCAAGACTTACTACGGCATTGCAAGAATAGTTTCCTACAATTGTTCCTGAAAGGAGCACGATGCTGAAAAGGAGATGTGTTAACAAGAAATATAGGGAATAGAGGAACTAAGTTAACACCTACACAAGGAAATAATCTGATAAATCCAGAATGTGGAACATACTAAGACAATAGGTGATTTATCTCAAAAAACAAAAAAAGGTGGGGGCCCCTTTTAGATTAAGAAAGTTAGACAGACACGATAACCAAAAGCAATGCATAAACCATGACTGGATTCTAGGGAAATTTGGAGACAACTAAGAAAATTTGATTATGGACTAGCTATTAGATGATATCAGGGTCTTATTGTGAATTTTCCCAGTGGGATGGTATTGAACTTGGGTAGAAAAAAAGTCCTTATTCAGAGGAGCAGCACGTTAGGTATTTAGGAGTGAGATGTCATGATGTTTGTAACTTATTTTCAAAGATTCAGCAAAGAAAAATCTATATAAGGCAAATATGGTAAAATGTTAACAGTTCTTGGATCTAGGCAAAAGCTATACAAGTATTCATTATACTATTCCTTTAACTTTTTGTATGTTTGAACATCCTCATCATAAATGAGAAAAAGAGACAACTGTAAATTAAAAGAAATCTAATAACCAAATGCGCTGTACAAACCTTGATTAAATCCTAAAATAAGGCTTAAAAAAAAAAAAAAAAGACATTTTGGGACAACTAAGAAAATCAGAAAATGGAGTTCATATTACACGACACTAAGGACACTAAGGAACGACTGTTAGTACCCTCACTCTTGGGAAATGAGAAGCTTGCTGAAGTAGTTAGGAATGAAGCATTATGTCTAAAACCTTCTTTGAAATGGTTTAGCAAAAAACAAAAATTTTACTTAAAGGTGCACCCTCTACCTACCTAGCTGGGTAAAGCCAATGTGGCATAACAGTAACAACTATTAACCTACAAGATGTTCACGAGTAATCATTTTACTATTCCTTCAGCTTTTTGTATGTTTAGAAAGTCTCATAAAACAAAGCTTTAAAAAATTTAAAGCTAAAAGTAAAAAGTGTGTATCAATATTCCATTTTCCTAAATTTCAGCAAACAGGATAAAACCACAATCAACCTGCCTACCCTTTTCCCTACATAGATTCTCATGCTAAAAAAGAACCAGCACTGATATAACCTATCTTTATTTCTGGGCCCTTTCTGGCACTGAGCGTATATATGGGTATTAAAGTGGACTTGTTTGAGACCTGCAGTGGGCTGAGCACAGAAGAAATAGATGAACCCTATTTTCAAGCTCAAAATATAAGGTTGGGCAATAGTAGGTTTACAGTTGTTCATATGGAAAATAATAAATTAATAAATAATAATACGAGAATATACTCTTGTGTTTTGTGTACTCATGATTGTAAGCTACTTTTACCCCACCCTATATTATGGTATAAAATAGTCAAAATTCTTACTTCCTAACCAAATTTTCCATTTTAGTTTGGTTTCTGGAGTTTTATTACTAGAAATAAGGTCTCAAATCTAGCTACCTTGACATTCTGCAACATTTAGAATGCCACAGATTCCTTTGGTAAACATTAACACTAACACACTAAGACAAGAATCACTGACTACCTTGCATTTATCTTACCAGTATTACTAAAATGAAGATTTCTCTGTGGCCAGGGCCTTGTTAAGTTTTCCTAAGAAATTAACTCAAGAAGGAAGCCTTAACAATGTTTTCATTCTGATGAGATTCCCAATACCTGACCAGTGGGTAATAACCACCTCCTCCTATGCTGTATATGCAAACAATTCATCAGAAGATACAACTGATGTTTTATACTATTTACAAAACTACCCGATGGTATTAACTTGCAGCCAGTGTCACTACTGACCAGCTTGAACTGATAATTGGAATATAAAAAAGGTTCTGTAGCTCAGCACTTAAAAATCACTTACTGCTATCAATTATCCATCATATTGTCCTACAAAAGGGAAAATTTTATTTTCTATTTCACAAGTACTTCCACTTAGTTGGAGGGTTTTGTTTGTTTTAGTAGTGGGAAAGCATTTGTATTTAATGTATAAAGACAAAACAGGATTCCCCCAGGGAAAGAGAGCAATAAAAACAGTAGAAGGAAAAAAAAATCAAAACAGAGACAAATGAGTTACATAGTTGGTGTAGGGCCGATTATCACTGAACAGAAATAATTAAGAAATCTATTTTTTAGTTTCAATTATTTCTGCCGCATCAGTACATTCTGAGAATAAAGGTAAAAACCCCATAAAATTGAGCTCTCAACTAAAAGTGTAAATTAATGATATTTTAGAAGGAAAAGAACATGTCAGGCTGCTGAGTATTATTCGAAGGCACAAATCTGTTTATTATTCAAAAGGTGTAAATGGCCATCTTTTGCAAATACTGTATTTTTATCACCAGGTTTAGCAACTAAAGCTTAAGAACTATTTAACATGAAGGGTGTCGACCAAAGCTTTACTTGTGCTTTCTAGAAAGAAGAAAAGATGCAAGAGATAAACAGAGCCCCAGAGGTAACCATGTGATTAGAAACCAATTAAGTTAAGCAATTACTGAAACTGCTTTCTCTCCTTTGGGCAAGAAAGGATCACAAGTGAGACTCTGATATAAAAATGAAAAATGCTTACATGCAAAAAGGCCACGGCTGTTTTGGAGAGACTGTTTTTAAGATAGCAGAACTATTACATGGTAAAATGTGCACAGTTTGATCAATGTAGGTAAAGGACTTATAATCTATTTGTTTAGAAATATCAAAATGGTTGCAGACATAAACATCATTTTCATGGTTAAATTTAGTTAGTATTCCCAGTGAAATGGGGAAAAATAGAACTAAGAGCAGGGGGAGAAATCACCACTAGGACCTACTGGTTTTCAAGAGCTATTTTATGTTTCCTTACTACATTTCAAAAGAATATGAAACTGTATTAATGCATCATTCAGAATTATAAAACGCATCAACTCTAATTTCAGCATGTATTACTTAAATTATTAAAAAGAGAACTAGCCTCACACAGTTCAGATTTAATTACTTTGTGAAGAAAGAAAAGCTAAAGCAAACTTGTAATATTTTGGGCTAAATAATTATGCTTCAACTTTAAAAGTACTTTTAAAATGAAACCAATCCACCACTTACCTGGTTCTTCTTTCACGTACAAAATGTATTTTTAAAAACCTAAATGCACAAGCTTAAACAAATTAGACTTCTTACACATAAAACTATTCTTATCAACTATTCATTCTCTTTTTGGCTCCTGACCAAGCCTGGGAATCTTATCTATAAAGACACACTGCCTTAACTAAATGAGTACCATCTATTGTTTTCAAATGCACTAACCTTCTCAAAAACACTGGATGGGGTCATCAAGCAAAACCTGATGTTCTGAATAATGGTATCGGTATGTCTCCAGCGTCTTCTATCATGCCGCAGCCAAGACTGCACAGCCTCGTACAGCTCTATCTCTGGGAACCTGCTCAGATGATCATTATCCAAATAAGACATGAGCTTCTCAAAACTCAGATAAGACAGGAAGTCAGGTCTGGACATGAGTGGCACAAAGTTGTCTAGCAGAAAGGATTCCAGCTTCTCCCTAACTCCCTCAATATTTACACCGAAATCATCTAAGAGTCTCATGATTTCTGCACAGTTTTCTAAGCAGATTTTCGCTAACAGGAAAGAGCAGCAGAACTTCACCACTTCAATAAGTTGAACATACATGGCAGCCTGAAGAATCTCATGAACAGTATTCATACTCAGTTCTATAGTCCCATAGTACATAAACTGAAGGACGTGGCTGAAACCAGTAGCAGTTAGACCTTTTAAATGAATTTTGTCCTGATCACGCTCCCTCATGTCTGCAGTAAACATAATTCTGAAGTAATCACTCTGGGTAGCCAAGAGTGCTTTATGGGCCTGGAACTGATGATCTTCAATAACCAGAGTGACATCAAGAAGCAGTCCCTCCTCATACAGTGCTCTGAACCCAGCAGAGACACTGGTGTCATGGATGGATGAACAGAATCCTTCCATGTCCCCTGCCATGAAACACCTGGAAAAAAAGTAATCAAAGAAAACTGTGTTAATCATTTCCATGCATTCTGAAGACATTAACTTACAGCTTAAACAATTTTTTATAATTATCTTAATTCCACTGCCTAAGTCCTAAATGTTCAAGCCCTTTGTGAGAAGATAACCTAAAGATTTGCAGGCTAATGTTTTTGGCTTCCCTATCTGGGGGGAAAATTTATTAAATATCTACCAAAAAAGGTGAATTGTTAACTTATAAACAATAATATGCCTATCTCATTGATTTTACACTGTTCACCAAATATATCTAAACATGTCCCCAAATTAACAATACAAAGAGGATTTATCAAATACCAAATTACTGAGAAAAAGAGACAGAAATTAAACCAAAAAGTACACTGTTGACCTTGAAAACTCCTAGAACTGTACCCAAAGGAAAGAATCAGATAAATATGCCAAATTATACACACAAGATTTTTCTTTCTAACCTTATTTATAATAAAAAGTTGGAAAGTATTCAAAAGCCCAATAATAGGTTATTAAATAAATATGGTACAGTCCTATAATGGATTACTATAACAACTAAAAATGATAGCAGCAATCTACCTATTCTGACCAAGGATGTTTATTAGGTATCGTTGTGTTGAAAAAAGCAAGCAACTGCAATATACACAGTATATTCTCAAAAATTAAATACACATGTATATGTTTAGATTGAGAAAAAGTCCAGAGGAATATATACCAAAATTATGTCCCTGGGTAGTGGGAATTCAAGAATTACTGAGGTTTAACTTTTCCTTTTTACTTACCTCGTTAACCTTATTTTTCAAAATGATCATTGCTTATATACTTAAAATATGAATATGCAATTTTAAAGGAAATTAAACCACATTTTCGCATATCAGAGAAATGAAGCCAAGATAGTGAAATTATAATAGATCTCTTAAGTAAAGCCAAATAAACAAATTCAGCCTATTAGAGACTGTTTAGGAAGTAATTTTCTCCTTTTCACACAACCCCACCCCAGGCCATCTATCCTGTCAATTCTCATCCTCATACAGCTCTGAGACCCTCCGCAACCACCCATCCTCCCACCCCCTAACTCCCTCTCAACCCTTTCCACTGTGCCCAGTGGAACCATGATTCAGTGTAAACAAACTCCCCTATAGGCTCATGCTGGTCACATCAAGTTTTCTCTGCAGTCTGATTTAAATAAGAAAAGTACTTTCCTACCGCTTACAAACCTACCTTCTAAACCTTCTCTTATCTTTCTGCTGTCCTTTTTCTAAAACACAGCCTTTCAGATAAAAAGTCCATCATCTATTTCTCCTTGTCACTTATCTATCATATACTTATATCCTGATCAATCTCTCCCACACTTCCTGACGACTTAGGCACCTGGCCAAGTCATTCTCTACGCCTCTTCAATGCTCATATAAGCTTACTCACCCAAAAACCAAGAATCAAAGTTCTGACCACTTCATCCCACTATCTCCCCCCTTCCTCTTTTAAAACCTTATTCCCAAACCTGCTGGACCTCACAACAATCCAGAAGGGGTCCACATTTAAAACCTTAACTTCCCAATTCTCTGGCTTTACCTTTTCCTATTCACTTGACCAATCATCTCCAAACTTTACCTCTGTCCTTCTCCTCCTCAAGCTTAGACCTTCTGGCATGAGACCCAATTTCCCAAGCTCTTGCCTTCTGGTTATCTGGACCATGAGCCCTCCAGAGAAGCAACTGGCACTGCAGTTACCTGCTCTACCTCCTTTTTTTTTTTAAATCCTCATCCAGGGATATTTTTCCCNATATCCTGAATTTCAATGGGTAAAAACAAACAAAAAATACACCTAACAGACTTCTTGCTAAAAATCTAGGTTCTCAAAAATTCTACATAAATAGGTATTGACTATCAGCAATTATAAACTACATCCCCTGTTGCTCTGATACAGTAGGTCTAATATCCACAGTTTGAAAAACAAAGCTTTACAATATTTGGCAAAGAGTATTGTGAGTCACAATGGCTCAGTACAGATTTATTAAATTGAATATTGAGTGGAAAGGCTCTAATTTTGGTAAATAATTCTGTAAGTAGTAACGATCTCAAGAGTTTAGCTAGGACACTGACTAAGTGGCCTTTGTTTAAGGTGAAGTTTCTTGTTTGTTTTTGTTAATTCTCATCGGAGGATGTTTTTTCCATCGATTTTTAGAGAGAGAGTGCAAGAGAGGGAAGGGAAGAGAGAGAAACATCGATGTGAGAGAGATACATCGATTGGCTGCCTCCCATATGTTCCCTGACCATAGCCAGGGATCAAACCTGCAACCCAGGTATGTGTCCTTGACTGGAAACTGAGGCTGATGCTCTAACCACTGAGCCAAACCAGCCAGGGCTCTAGCTCCTTCCTGAAACTGTCACTGCCAATCTTACCACTCTACCACCAATGGCTCCCCTTTATTTACCAAAAGAGCATCTCTGTGTGCTGGGCACAATGTTGGGTATGGAGGTATGTGCCTTTCAAGAATCATCTCTGCACCCTGGATCTGGCAGGGCCTCCTGTTGCCGAGACTGAGAAGGCAGCTTGCACGGACACGCTACAGGTGCTACCTCTCCGCTCTTGTGAGTAGGCTATCACTAGATTTTACTGCTTTGCTTCATCGATTTGTCTATGATACCCTGTATTTAACTTCTTGACATGTTAACCCATGTATTCAGTAGTTATCCCAGTCTGGTGTCATCTAAAAAAATAACTTTAAAAAATCTGAAAGGATCATATACAAAAATGTTAAAAAAGGTTACCTTGGGATGGCAGAGTATCAGGAAGTTTTACCTTTCCCCCACCTTTCCTCATTTGTTTTTTAATCTATCTGCAATGAAAGTATATTATTGTTTTGTAAAAGTTCATTTTTTTAAAAATCTAAAAAAAAATTCCTTACTTGCCAAATCCAATAGTTACACCCTAGTCCCTATTTCTCAGAACCCTTCTGCAGCACAGCATAATGTACTCCCTCAGCTCATCGCTCTCTCAGCTTCACGACACAATTTTCCCAATTCTTTTCCTACTCTTGGGCTGCTTGTTTCTCAGTCTCCCTAAACTCAGTTTTCTTGAGCTACCAGATTCCTTGAGCTACTTCTTAAAACACTGGTGTGCCCCAGGATTCTTGTCTTACACTTTTTCGCTTCTCATCTAAGCACTGTGTCTCCCTAAATGATCTCATCTGAACCCATGGTTTTCACTAATTCCTACCTTTACCAGTACCTTGACAGCCTCTATCCTTATACCAGTACTCTAAATAGCAAATCACCTATGAGGCGCTTCTGGATGCCCCACAGGAATCTCAAAATCATTATGTCTAAACGTAATCATAATTCTACCCTCCCCCAATCAGTTCTTTCTTTTGTATTTCCCCCTTATCAAGAGGTATTCTAGGTGTCCCTAACTGACCTTTAACTCTTAATGATTGTAGCACATCTTACTTACTTAAGACAGCAAAGTATTCACAAGATGAAATTAATAACAATATTAATTTTTATTAGTACTCCATTAATCCAAAAGCTAGAGGTAGAGCACAAGAGAGCTATCTATAATTTGGAAAAAAGATATGAAATATTTCAGACACTGTAATAAATTCTTGGGAGAACTACTTACTAACACACTCAAGATTAAAGCAAGCTGTCTGATTTTTTTTCCTGAATTGTTTTAAAAATAAAATTTAATGAGCTTAGGCCCTAGCCAGTTTGGCTCAGTGGTTAGAACGTTAGCCCCTGGAATGACAGGCCCCCACTTTGATTCCAGACAAGGGCTCGATCCCCGGCCCAGGTCGGGGTGCATGTGGTGGCAACGATCAATGTGTCTGAGACACGTCAATGTTTCTCTCTCTCCCCCTTCCACACTCTCTCTGAGAAGCAATGGAAAAAATATCCTCAGGTGAGGATTAAAAAAAACCAAACTTTAATGTGCTTAGAATTTTCCAAGTGATATGAGGCATATGTAACACAAATGAGTACTGGGAACAAAATGAATACCATACAGTGTAGTGTCTGAATAATCACACATTATGGTTAGTGGAGGACTATCAACATCACACTAATTATCAATTTTCAAAATAATTAGAATAAAGTAATGAATTAAACTGGATGAAAAATTTGATATTTCATTATCTTTCTCAGCACCATTACGGATACCAATTATCACTCTGACTCTTCAAGATGTATTGGTCACATTTTATGGAGATTTAATAATAGAAGGCTGCACATCAGCGTTCATATACTTGAGAGTAGACTGCTTTGTGTTCCATTAATCTGTTATTTCGACAATGCCTAATACCATATATTTCATTTCTTATCAAAGTAACCCTTTGTATTCAACAGTTATCACTATCTCATAAGGTCTCAAACAGCTAATACTCACTTTTCTGGAAAAAAGTTTCATCTAAGGGAAATTTTTAAAAAGATACAATATGCAGCGCCTGGCCAGGTGGATGGGATGGACCGTCCTCCCATACACCAAAAAGCTGTGGGGTTGATTTGTCAGAGCACATACCTAGCCTGCAGGTTTGATCCCCGATCAGGGTGTGTACAGGAGACAACTGATGGATGTTTCTCTCTCACATCGATGTTTCTCTCTGCTTTCCTCTCTCTAAAATCAATACAAATATATCCTCAGATGAGGATTTTTAAAAGAGAGACTGTGCTTTCTCAAAAAAAAAAAGGCAATCTAGGTTCCAGATGCCTATGGAGGAAACATCATAGGGCAAAGCAGCAAGAAGAGAGAGGGAGGAGGAAGATTGGTAATCTGTGAGTCAAAAGATCCTATGTAAACAGTACCCGCTCTCCTCTGGGCACCCACAGCCCGCCGGGGGTGGGGGGGTGTTCCTAGCAGACAGGTTTTCCACCCTGTTATCCTGTCCCCAATCACATATGGTCAGGCCCAGGTGGGAAATATGAATCAAGATGAACGTTCTTTTGTCAAAAATTTAAGGAGAGAAATTAAGACAGAGAGAGAGAGGCATGCGCTGTGTAC